TTGATAATGTTGTGCACGATACATTTAAATTAGCATGTGTTGCAAGGGGGCTTTTAGAAGATGATGAAGAATGGATACACTGCTTGAAAGAGGCTACAGTTATGAAAACTGGATATCAATTGAGGAGATTGTTTAGTATTATTCTCACCCAGTGCTCTCCACTAAATCCATGTGCATTATGGAATCAATTCTCAATGCATATATGTGATAATCTTGCACATAAGATTCGTATATTGTTTGCCATTTCTAACCCAACTGAGGCTCAAATTGAGGATTATGGTCTCCATCTTTTAAATCAAATGCTTCATGAATTAGGCAAAAATTTAATTGACTTCCCACCCATGCCACAACCTACTACAAATTGGACTACAACAATTGGTAATCGATTGATATTCGAACATCAACAACTGCAGAGTGAGGCACAACAGTCAGATCCGCAAATTGCTATTGATTGTCTCAACAATGGACAGCGGAATGCTTATAACACAATCACTTCTTCAGTTTTTCAAATAAAGGAACTGTTTTCTTTTTGAATGGGGCTGCTGAAACAGGGAAAACGTTTCTGTACAATACGATTGCATTAAAATGTCGTAGCCTTGGGCATATCGTTGTTACTGTGGCTTCATCTGGAATTGCATCATTGTTACTGGTAGAAGGTCGCACTGCACATTCAACATTTTCCATTCCGTTAGATGTCTTGGAAAATTCACTTTGTGGGTTTAGCAAACAATCATTACAAGTTGAGTTATTTAGAGAAACAAAACTCATAATTTGGGATGAAGTTCCTATGCAACATAAACATTGTGTTGAAGCGGTTGATCATACATTGAGGGATATTTGTGATAGTGAAAAGCCATTTGGAGGTATTACTGTTGTTCTTGGTGGAGACTTTCGACAAATCTTACTAGTTATACCCAAAGGAGTTCGTGAGCAAATTGTGAATGCATCATTAAGACACTCTATTCTATGGAAGCATATACATATCTTAACTTTGGATTTGAATATGCGCTTGAATCCTGAAGGCCATGAAAATGCTAATTTTGCAAATTTCTTAATGGAGGTAACACTACTTTAACCTTTTTTTCCTTATTATATAAATTATTTTAAATTAATAAATTGTATTTACACTTCTTTTTTTTTTTATTGATTTTACTTTTTTTGGATTGGGACCAATCCTCAAGAAATCGTTAACCTTCCATCAACAATACACAAATGTCAAGATTTGAATGATTTACTCTCTATAGTTTACCCACAGTTGAATATGATAGAGACGTCAACCCCAGCATTTTTAACTGAATGCACAATTTTGTCTGCGCGTAACAATGATGTCAGTGACATTAATACTACTGCGTTGAATATCTTTCCAAAGAGATTATATACTTATCTTGCTACAGATAGAATGTCTGAAGATAATGAAATTGATCCTACCATTACAAATAGATATCCTAATGAATATTTAAATTCATTGGATCCTCCTGGGCTGCCAACTTTTAAGTTCGAGTTGAAAGTGGGTTGTCTTATAATATTGTCGAGAAACATTGCACCGAAAGATGGACTATGTAATGGTACAAGATTGATGGTTACTAGATGCAATACTTGCATAATTGAAGCTCAAATTTTAACTGGAGAAAAGTTTGGCAATTTCGCATTCATACCAAGGATATCTTTGACACCATCTTCTTCAAAAATGCCTTTCCAAATGGCAAGATGCCAATTTCCAGTCCGATTGGCATATGCCTTGACCATTAATAAATCTCAAGGACAATATATGAAATTTGTTGGGGTTGATTTGCGCATACCGGTGTTTAGCCATGGATAATTATATGTGGCATTGTCCAGATGTACATCCTTTGATCGTATAAGTATTCTCCTCCCTAAAGATAGTTTGGATTCTACTATAAATATTTTTTATCCTGAAGTGTTGTTGTAGTGTTGTATGTAGATTAAATCACGTTTTATCATAAGGTAACCATGTAGATTTATTTCTATTGATTATATAACTTTTTATAAAATTTTAATTTAATAATAATTTGAAATATGGACTTTTGTAGGATTGGACCGAAAAATCTATGGAGCTTAAAAGGAGAAATGCGACTAGCTTGCTTCGATGAGGATGTAATAAGGTAATTTCAATCTCAAAATATTTTGTGAAGTTTATTTCCAACAAATGTACTAATCTATATTTTTTTTTGTTTCTACAAATTACTAGATTGTTGTGCATGTTCCTCATTGGGGATACATACAAGTTGATACAAAGACTTTTTGGAAAGTAATGAGGAAGAAATTTGGGCAAACACATGTTTAAAGATATGTTATTGACAGATTTTTTTGTAAAGTATACATATTTTTCAAAGCTTTAATCCACTCTTTGTAAAGTTTTAACTCACTCTTTTGGTGTATGACAATATAATGTTTGTTTTTCTTATGTAGTTATAATTTGATTGGCAATAGTAACACTAACTGATGTGCATTATAATTTTAATTTCTTTTAGATTGCAGAGCATTGGCTGGTGTGCATTATTTTATATTTGATTTGTTTGAAATTGTAAACTACAGTTTGTTATGTATTGTTTGATATTTAATTTTCAATTTAATTGTTGAGATTGTAAAGCACTTGCTTATGTGCTTTATTATATAGATTTAGTAAATTTTTTTCTTTTTATTATAAAATGTTAACAAGTATACAATAAGTTTAATTTCTGTTTTTTGTTCAGTGTTTACAATTTTTTTTTACTTGCTCTTATATTTTGATTTTCAATATTTGTTTCTTAATTTGCATTAAGATTAGGGGAGTTGTTATTTTATTTGAGTTTTGTGGAGCGTGTAATATAAGCAAAATTATTACAAATTTTTTAAGAAGTAAAATATTTTAATATATTTTTTCAGTATCTTTATTAAAAAAATGACACAAATTTCACAAATTTCAACATAATACGTTTAATTATAACTGTATTTTAATCTTAATATCATTTACACCGTGCCTTTAGACAAGGACATACGCTAGTGTTTTACATATAAAAAAGTTTCAATACCATCGTATTCGTATTATTACATGTCTATATCTGTATTCGTAAAGTCTTATAGCATGTGACATATATTTATTTCTTAGTATGCATATACTTGGAATTTCTCATTAATTTATTCTACTAATGAACTATTTTTGGCAGCATCAAATGGATTTGGCTAAAACTTCAAAGTTTGGCAAACCGAAGAAAGTCAATTTTGTTTCAAAGTGTTTGAGTGAATAAAAATAAATAAAATAAATATAGTAACTAATATCGAACGAAAATTTTGTTCCAACCCCCCATTGATAAAGACCAACACCATGGTAATGCACTTTTTAGAAAGTAGAATAACATGTAATGTAACCACCATCACAATACTAGCCCCCCCTTTTTTTGTCTACTTTTTTTTTTTTATTATTATTATTATTTTTTTTTTTATCAAAATGTTCCTACTTTTAAATAGAACACGTCTTCTCTCCCATCTGTATATGAAAACCCATATCGTCAGACTGAGGCCTCGTTTGGGAACAGGCTAATTTAGTAATTTTTTGGCTATTTGGCTAAAAAGGTAGGTAAAAAAAACTTGTATGTTTGGGATGACTTTTTGGCTAATTACGAAAAGATGTGCAAAAAGTAGAGAGAAAAGAGAATCTTTGACTTTTTGGTATGAGTTGTTGGCTTTTTGGCTAATTTAGTAACTTTTTGACTAATTGGCTAAAAAAGTAAGTCCCCAAACGAGGCCTGAATTAATAATCTAACAAATATATAATTCAATATTTAACTAAAAAATACAAATTTGGATCAGTAATCTATTTAGATATGATATCTCTTATATAGGAGAATATTAAATCTAGAACAAGAGTGGGATATAAAAACGAGGACTAATTACGCTCTGTTTGAAAACGTTTTTTTTACGAAATTTTTTTTTCCTAAAAAATGTTTTTTGAAAAAATATTTTTCTATATTTGACGGTGGCAACGGTAGTGGTGGGACAAAGGTGGAGGTGGGGGTAATGGCATGGTGGTGGGATGGTTGTGACAGTAATGGTGACAGTGGCTGTCTTGATAGTGGTGGAAGTGAAAGAAGTAGTGGTAGTATTAGATCAATTATCAAACGCATCAGTTTTTTTAGATTTTAAAAAAGTTAATAAATGATTAAAACAATAATTGCCAAACTCTACCTTATAATTTTTTGTTTGTAAATAATTAATAAAAAATAAATAAATAAATAAATTGATCTAATAATGGTAATCACACTTTTTTTTTATATTTATCTTTAGAAGACAAATATAATGAAAGCATTGGCTATGATTATTGGGTAAATCAAATATTTTTTTATATAAATAACCTATATACAATACTAAAATGAAGAAATTGAGTAATTGAAATAGAATACGTGATGGATCCACAAACCCCAACTACAACATTCTGGCTTGGTTTGGGAAGTGGGTTGGCTTTTTGACTTTTTGGCTTTTTTGGCTATTTTAGCCTGGGCTTAAAAGCTTGGTTTGGGAAGGGCTTTTTGGCTTTTTGGCTTTTTTGAGTTTTTTTGTGAGAGAAGAATGTAATGATTATGGGTTGGATGTCACAAACCCCAACTACAACATTCTATTCATATATTCCTTCCAATCCATTAATTAGGCTAGAGGATCCTATTGAGAGGTGATGGGCTCACCTCAGGATGGTAATTTAAATTATTTCTTCCTATCAATTAAATTATCAGCAATGTTAGATATCATAAAAAAATTTTATAAAATAATCATAAAAATTTTGTGATCCTTGAATTATACTTAAAATAAAATAACACACACTAATCAAGATAATCTAAAAATCATAACTTTTTTTATGATTATTTTCCTGACACGTAATTTTTCTCTTAAATTATTCATATATTCCTTCCAATCCATTCTATTCATATATTCCTTCCAATCCATTGTTCGTTCTTTTGTGTAGTATATAAAGAGTAAACTCTATCTGAATCTTATACCTCGCAATAATTCTTAAAACAGAGAAAGAGAAAGAGATTGAGAGATGGCCAAACTCGGAGGAATTACGGAAGTGAAAGGCGCTGCGAACAGCTCAGAGATGGCCAAATGCGGAGGAATTACGGAAGTGAAAGACGCTGAGAACAGCTTAGAGATGGCAAGCCTCGCTCGATTTGCCGTTGACGAACACAACAAGAAAGAGGTTTTCACTCTCTCTCTCTCTCTCTCTCTCAGTGAGTTGGATTTTAATCTTAATTTTTTTCTTGAGCCAGGTTAGATTAGATTGCCTATACAGTGTTGTAGGTTTTCTTTGTGAGACGTATATTATAGACAAACTTACATCTAAACACAAATCCCCACTCACCTGTAACCATGATCAACTTTCATCCTAAAAAACATAGTTGGATGTGGAGCGTTCTCATGTCTTACGGTTTTATTCAATGTAGTGGTGACAATAGAGGTTTTTGTATTAACTAAGGCCTCGTTTGGGAACAAGCTTTTTTAGTAACTTTTTGGATTTTTGGCTAAAATGTGATGTAAAAAAAATTAGTATGTTTGGATGACTTTTTGGTTTTTTACGAAAAGATGTGCAAAAAATAGAGAGAAAAGGGAATCTTTGACTTTTTGGTATGGGTTGTTGACTTTTTGATTTTTTTAGTAACTTTTTGACTTTTTGATTAAAATGAACACTTGCCAAACGAGGCCTAAGTGTAGCTACCCAATGCGGCCCAGCAGTGCAGGAAATCCCAACTTTGTGTGCTTCGAATTTAAGCTCCCACCTAACAAGGCATCTCCCATCACCTGGTCCGACCACATTTGGGGCTGCCAAGACTACTCCCTAGAGGAGGAATCTATGTTACCTGGAACGTGGATCATTCCGATATGTGGTAGAGAGAAAAGGGAATCTTTGACTTTTTGGTATGGGTTGTTGACTTTTTGATTTTTTTAGTAACTTTTTGACTTTTTGATTAAAATGGACACTTGCCAAACGAGGCCTAAGTGTAGCTACCCAATGCGGCCCAGCAGTGCAGGAAATCCCATCTTTGTGTGCTTCGAATTTAAGCTCCCACCTAACAAGGCATCTCCCATCACCTGGTCCGACCACATTTGGGGCTGCCAAGACTACTCCCTAGAGGAGGAATCTATGTTACCTGGAACGTGGATCGTTCCGATATGTGGAACGGAAGCGGGAATGAAAACGGGAACCTGGTACGCCATATGTTCTAAAATATGGTACGATATCGATAGATTTATATATATTATACTTAAAAATTTAAGATACTTGTAGAGTAATTTTTTTTTAACTATTAGATATCCAATAAAATGTAATATTTTCTATGAGCATTATGACCTATTTTTTAATTTTTTGTCTTATCAAAACTTAACTCACCTTAAATTTTAGTTCATTATATTTTAATTTTTTCTTCCTAAGGTAACATTTAAGGACATATTGAAAAAAAAACTTTTAGGATCGCTTTGGATCTCTAAATTTACTAGTTTAGAACAAAAGTGTACCATGTTTCGGAACATGCATACCAATACGTAATTCGTTAGGGTATTAGCGTTTTCTGGTAACATAGGGAGGAATACTCTTTTTATAGAGCTCAAAGAGTAAAGCATATATCTAGAATTAATGAGTTAAAAATTGATACATATCCTTATGAAAATATAATGTACTAAAAAATTTGTGCGTGAAGCAAGTCAAAATTTATAAGCAACTATGAAAAACTCTATTTAGAGTTGGCCTTTAAATAGAAATTCCGTTGGTTACTTAAAGATAGTTGAAGCCCAAGCCCAACCCAAAGAGACTGCCCTGGTTTGGCAGGCTATGCCTAGGCGGCTGCCTATGATAACTATGGTTAACCCAAAGAGACTGCAACCAAGCATCAGAAAGCAAGAGGAATAAGTTGTTTTCAGGTGTAAATTATTCTATTGAATCAAAGAAAACAAAAAATAATTTTTTTGGATCAACATTTTACTCTATTAGTTAATTCTATTGTTCATGATCCCTCAGTTTGTTTTGGCTGGAAAATAACACTTTTCTGCTATCTATGATTATCCTACTATGATGAATATTTTTCCATTCAAACTAAAAGGGGTAAGATAATTTTTTGACCTTTTCTTATTATTTTCATTTTTCAAATTATGTAATATTTCCTATATTTAGTGTATGTTGTAGTGATGTCCGTATTTATGCGTATATGTGTCTATATATACACTTATATATAATCAAAATTTTATAAGTGTACAATTCATTGATGCAGTTTTGTTCTTGTTTTTTGTTTTTACTGTTGTGGGCAGAATGCTTGTCTTGAGTTCAGCAAAGTCGTGAATGCGAAGCAGCAGGTTGTTGCTGGAATGATGTATTATATAACACTGGAAGCAACCAATGGTGGTCAAAAGAAAGCTTATGAAGCGAAGGTCTGGGAGAAGTCATGGATGAAATTCAAGGAGTTGCAGGAATTCAAGCCCATCGGTGATGCTCCTTCACACCCTAGTGCTTAGCTAGGTAACTATTACTATGGAACCCAATGCCTTTATGTAGTTTAAGTTTGATGATTAATGTTTCATCAGTTAGTATGGTATTAATTAATCAATTAGGGGTATCCAGAGGTTGATTTTGGGTCGGGTTTTTTAAAATTGGTCAGTTGACTGAACCTGTTTGAGTTGTGAATATGCCTAACTGATTTCAACCGCATGTTAGATCAAAATCTTCTTCAGTTTGTTGGTTGGGTTCAGAATTAAAAACCCAAACATAAAAAATTTTGTGCACACTAGGCGATTACTGATTTAATAGAAGAAGGGGTTCAACATATTCAACGAAGAAGAAGAACCAAAAAGAGTTGTATAGAAACAGGATTTCTAATATACCAAAACACTAAACAAGCCTCAAAAACCTAACTAAATTTAAAACAAAAACCAAACTACACTTGGAGATCAATAGATGTAGACAACCAAAACTCTACAACCAAACCTAGATCAATCAGCGTTGCTTCCACAGCCAGCAATCAACGTCTCCACCACCGTCTTTCTTGAAGCTTGAAGATCAATTGGTCTTTGCACACCGCCGCCAATCAGTGTTGTCGCCATCAGCATTCTAAAGCTAGAAATCTACCATTATTGAAGCTTAAAGTTTGTTGACGCTGTGTGATGCCGTATGAAATCAGGCTTTGTCTTTTGGGTGTTCAGATCGTGAGAGGGGCTTTTGGATTGTGGGGCTTTTGGAATATGCGAGATAGATTTAACCTTTAGGGTTAGGGTTGACAAGAGAGAGAATGAGATAGATGCCTTGATGACAGAAGGAAGTTTAAATAGAAGATAGAGATCGATTTAACCTGTGCCACATGTCGCATGTCCGTGCTTCTTAGTTCTTGAATGTGCATTTGACATGCCATGAATTTGATGTGGCTTTTCTACCACGTAAATACTTGTAAGTAATAAGGAGTTTTAATTAATTAATTTAAAAAAAAAAGGTGAAAGTTCAACAATGTTTTCAAAATTTTGAACATATCATAGAGAACAAGCAAAATATGAATCCTGTCTGTGTTAAATGTCCATACAATATAACCTCCTTTTCCCCTCAATGAATATTAATATTAGTTGAAAATTCAATGTAACTATTATCAATGTGGTTCTTTGTGAATAATGAGTAACCAGTTACATGATTGATTGTATATTATGGGCATCGATTCTACATGTTTTGTCTCTCTTGAAGAATTTGACTTATTAATGTGTCTGCATCATGCGACTCATATCATTTAAATCTTGTATCATATCCATGCTTAGAGTCCTAGAAGTAGTCGAAGTTTATAAATTCTTTGTTTTTTTTTGTTCCTTTAAACCTTGATCTACTAATGACTAGTGTTCCATGCGCAAGCAAAGCATGGTAGGTTCCTTGCTGTAAGTTTATTTTTAAGGCATAAACTGATGTTGTCAGTCAAACCCAGGTGAAGGTTCCAGTTGAAGGATGTAAAGCTTTGAAGGTTCTGACCCATTTGAATGAATATTGGGGCTATATGTTTCAGTTTTTACTAGTACTGTGTAATCTTGTTTTCTATCTGAAACTTTCTATGTTCTGTATTAACTTTTAGCCTTGGATTTGATGGGAATTAAGGACCTTTGTGATAAATAAATAAACTTGCATGTTTAACATTGCGAAACATGGCTGCGCTAAAATTTTTGTAATTATTTATGAAAAATGATTTTTCCACTAAATTTGGGTTCGCCCGAATTGTTCGAATTACGTAAGCTGGACGACCGACTGAATCACCGGTATCACCTTTGTCAACCGTGATTGTCTACCTTGTCATCCGGTGTGTTAAGTGGCATCTGCTTGGATGACTGGCATGCACAAATTCAGACAATTCGAGTGAATTAAAATTCGGTGGATGTAACATTGTAGATTATTTATCTTGTAATGTTTGGTGGGTTGTAAACCAAGAATGATTTTCAGGTCTTGTTAAAAAGGATTGAGGCTAAATTTTACAAAATTATAGAAAGGTTAGCTAGGAATGTTTACTTGGTCCAATTTAAAGGCTTGTTGCTAATTTGAGTCACGAAAATTATTTTTCAAAAAACGGAAGTGAACTCTTATCCACAAAGCTACGACTTTTGAGTAGGCGTCCAGATCCGCTAGAGTTGATCTCTCTAGAGTTTTCTTGCATTTGAACTAAATGACATCATTTTGCTTAAGACTCCCAAAAAAAAAAAAAAACACACAAACCCAGACAGACAAACAAACATGCATACTACGCCTCACTCGCCGTTGGCGCCATCTCCAGCTGCCGCCCCTCTCCATCTCACCCCTCCTCTTCTGTCACGATCGACCGAGGTCCCTTCTCTCTTCCTCCACTTCCTAAACCCTAGTCTTAGATGTAGAGTTTTCAAAGGGTGATGGTAGGCAACAGTGGCGGAAGGAGTAAGGGACCAGGGGTCACATGCCCTTGGATTTTGGGTTTTTTTTTTATTTTAAAAAAACATGAAAATATTTTAAATAAAAAAAATTACAAAAATATTATTAGAGTGAAATATCAGTAACATGTTAAAAATTATGATAACAATAATAGTTGTTTTAATTGAAAATGAAAAGGTTGTTATAAATCATATTACTTATGAAAATTTTATAAAATTTTTTAAATATAACGGTGATCTCATTATTAGTGACAAGCAAGTATAAGTAATCTTACTATAAATATATAAAATTTATTGGATTATTAGTTACATTCGACATATTAGGTTCACACTCTATGTGTTTATTTACTATTAGTGGGTGATATCATATACCAATGATGACGTGGTATTACCATTATATTGATTTTTTAATCAAATTTTATATAAAAAATTTAATTTATCATTATATAATTTATTTTAAGACTTATATCTATATATTTTTTTTTGTATTGTTCATGATACACTAGTTACAAATAACATTATTTTTTTTATGTTTCTCGAAATCAATCGTAAAAACTTACGTGAAATATTTTTCGAATTTTTTTTCGATATTATAATTAATAAGTGTCCCTTCTAATTTAATTTTCTCACTCCGCAACTGGTAGGCGGTGATGGTAGCCGCAGTGATGGGCGGGAAATTGGTTGTAACGACCACCTAAAGAGAGTAACATTGAGTTCTGAATGGAATGAATTGTAGTTTTGGGAGGTGAGTTTTTGGAGAAGTCTGATTGTTTGGCATAGAAAGCATAGCATTAGAAATCAAATCTCTATTTGCTTTACCCATTAAACTACAATTACAGAGAGCATTAGAAATCCAATCTCTGTTTGCTTTACCCACTAAACTACAATTAGAGAAAGTAAAGATCAATATTATACATATACATATATAAATCACAATTCTTCTTGATTTCACCAGAAATTGAATGGTAATTGCATTTGTATATATCTTATATATACTAGTGTAATATCTGTGCTATTCACGGTTTCAAATAAATAATTAATAATTAATTTTAAAATTAAAATTAAACAATAAAAAAATAAAATTAATTAAATTTAATTGTTTTTATCACAATTTTGCTTATTTTTTTTCCTCCTATCATTAATGCTATGTTTTAAGTTCTAAATAACAATAACATGAATAAAATGTAATTAGTAAAAGTTAAATAAAAATTATGATAAATTATAAAATTGTACTTTTTAATTTTTATTTTTAGGAACAAAAACTTCACCTATGATAAAATATAAATACATTATTATTTTTTAAGGGTGATCGCTGGGACAAACCTATATATTAGATGATATCATAAACTATGTGAAACTCAATAATTATTATTATTATTTTTTACTAATTACATTTTTTT